CCCCACGCCCCCCTCCCTCTCAGCTCAACGTCGTACGTGGACAGAAAAGAACGGGCTTTGTCCATAGAAGGATGTGTAACTCCCACCCCAAACCCCTCCGATATGTGATTTGAGCTTCGTTGTGGCTTCTCAGGGTAAAATACGCCACTAATACAGAGATTATCACATGAAAAGTGCGCACGAACGCAAGATTTTATTCACGAGTTGTGATGCATCAAAAAAAAAAAAAAAAAACGAACGAGTGAGTTTTTTGATGCATTACGAGAAATGAATAAAAATCGTTCATGCGTGCTTTCCAAGGTATGATATTTTTATTTCATACATGCTGAGATTTACTCTGTGAAGTACGACGCGAACGACTGTGAAAATACATCGTTCGTCCAATCAGAGTCAAGAAAGATAACATTTTACAGTGTAAAACTCAGTATATATGAAATAAGATTTGATGTGTTGTGGTATGATGTGTTTTTATAGTGTCGTGCAAGATTAATTAAAAAATTTAAATTGAGTCAAGTTTCAAGGAAATATGGAAATTTTCTTGGCTACACAATCCTTCCTAACTTATTGCTGTTACAAGGGAAGCTGTTGGAGAGAAATTTACTGATGGGATAGATTCCTCTTGTTTGAATTATCTTCCAAAGAGTATGTAAACTACAACTTTTAAGCTCCCGTCTTTGCGTTTTGTTGTCGCTTTACAGCTTAAATACGCGCATAAAATGTGTTGTGTTATATCATTCAATGACTTTTAGAAGGTGCAGCTCTGTAGGATCGCATGAGATATGTATATATGGCAGGTTAAAATGAATTATTACCGACATAACCCATTTTGTCTAAGTGATAAGCTGACATGACAAGGAGTAACTGTGTTGGTTGATTTATTTAAATAACAAAAGTGACAAAAACACCCGAATATGCAGAAACTGAGCATAAATAAATTACTGAGCACACTTAACGACGTTAACAGGGCACAAGTCAGTAATTGGCCGGTGACTGCCATTTGTTGTCCGGTAAGGATTAAGATGATTTCTCTAAACTCTCCAGCAAGTCGCACTTAGACGTGTATTAAACAACTCACCCTTAAGTTACTAACTGAAAAATCCGTAAATTTAATACCTATGCATCCATCAACGCTCCAAGTCGTCCATAAATTTTCAATATCAAATCCAAACTCAGCCTCACAACGAGTAGAAGATGGATATTGACTGGATTGTCGGTTGGTTTTTTACTTTCTTTGGTCTGTTGGGAAACAGCTGGATTATTTTCATCGTCGCTAAAAGAAGAAGATTACAGACGACAACCAACTGGTTCATTCTTTCCTTGGCGGTGGCCGATCTGGGTGTTACATGCGGACATTTTCCGGCGTCCATGATCTGCAATGTGCTTTTGAATACATGTAACAACGACGTTCGCATAATAACCGCTTTCTTCTTCCTAGAAGCTTCCGCCCTTTGCTTGACAGCCATGATTGGAGAACGCTATATCGCTATCGTGTATTCGTTGAAATACGTCCGTTTAATGACGACCAAAAACACAATTATTATCATCGCGACCTGTTGGGCAATTCCATTTCTTTTAATCGTTTATGAACTCATCATCTATCTTACCAGCATCGATTATTACGCTGTAGGAACACCTATATTCGTTGCTATTTACACAGCACTCCTCCTAGTTTTACCAACAATACTCTGTTTCGGGGCACATCTTCAAATTCTAGTAATTATTCACAAACGCTCTAGAGAGATGAGAGTTCTTTTCAAACAGGTTAGATTTAACGTAGAGGCAAACTCGGTGAAAATAATGGGAGTTAGAAATGTTGGAATAAAAACGTCCACCGTAAGGTTGGTGACTGCACTTGTTATTATATTTATAGCATGTTACGGACTAGAAATCCGTGCGTCAATTTGCACTTACTTCAATCTTTGTAATGTATCTGACCATGAACTAGCAGCAACAAATTTGCTCCTATTGGCCAATTCTACATTTAATCCTCTTGTGTACGCGTTCCTTAAAGAAGATATCAAGAGAGAAACAAAAGCTTTGCTTTGCCGCAGGAGGGAACCAAAACTACGTCCCTTCCAGGTTCATCCATAGTAGCATCGAGCTGGAAGAATTCCTTCCAGCAATGCCGACTAAAAAATAGGAAAAAACTGGGACACGACTGGAAAATTATTGCAAATAGTCCTAATTCAGTGAAGCAAATAAAGGTTGTTTAATTTGCAAGCAATATCGCTCTTCAGGTAACTTTATTGACGGGTGGTCTGTTGTCATTTATATATTTCATTTATTTTTCATGGCGTCAGGACATGCTACTCAGATCTATTACGCCAACTGCGCATAAAAAAAACGAAAATATATTCACCCATGCTACACCTAATTAGAACAGCATTATTTCCCCCTGCTTTTTCGCAGCTTTTCATTTTATGTTTTTAGGAAGACCTGAATACATTTTTGAAGAACACGCCTCTTACACCTGGGCATAACTGTAATACTCTATGAACAGGTTCTGACCGACGTTCAAGCTCGACTAGTTTTTATTTCATAGCTTCACTGCTTCTGCCGTAGCCCCTGTGTCGATGCACCTATCAGAGGCTGTTTGCAAGTATAGATTACTGACACAAAAACTACAGCCAGTCCAGTCATCTATCACGTAAGCTTACTTCATTATTTGTGGACAACAGGGACATATTTTGCGTTGCTATTAATTAAGCCTACTTCTTCTGAAGTAAAGCTACATTTTGCGACCGGAAACAATCGATTATTTTCCATTAAAGGTTGAGCTGCTCCCAACTTTAACATTCTGGTTTGTGCTTTGTTGCAGCATCTCAGGCTAAATAACACCAGTAGAAAATGTGTTGTGTACTAGCAGTGATGTTTTGTTATGACGTTACTTACTCTGTTACATAACAAAAAGGACATGTTATAGCGTTCTCTATTATTTTGCAAATTTTAGCCATCAGTTTCCTCACTTATTGTTCTGAAAGGGCAGCTGTGGTGATATGCTTTTATTTTAAAATTTGTATCTAGCTACACGTAAAAAGGTAGCATTTCATTTGCTAGTTCTGGCCAATTCTACGCTAAATCCTCTTGTCTACGCGTTCCTCAAAGCAAATATCAAGAGAGAGTCAAAAACTTTCTTCCTCTGGAGGACTCTAAAACAACATCCCCTTCAAGTTCACTCAAAGTAACAAGCTAAGCTTAGTGAAGTGTTCATTCAAGCAATGCTGATTAGAAATTAGATAATGACTGAACAAAAAACTGGTAGCCTTTGTAAAATAGATTTGAATTTAATCCTAATTGTAGTAAAGCGAAAAGCCACAAAACGATTTCTGTTGTCATTCAGTTGGATAGAGCCTTTTCAAAGTTATCGTAGGCACGGGATCGATGTTCCGACGTAGCCAACGGATAAAGAACCACAGAGCAGCCACAAAATATTGCTTGGTGATGCGTTTCTATTCTACGCGTTTGCTGAGCATTTTGCTGAATAAAAGTTTTGATCAAAGTCTTTGGGATGTGGTCCTTGTACGATGAGAAAGCATCATTTTTGCTAAAAGCTGCACGCATTTGTTGAAATAATGAAACGCGCTTCCATTTGCCGTCATGAATTATTCACTGAGTGTCTCCAACTTTAATTGAAGAGAAAGCTTCTCGACAAAAAACAAAAAGCCCATTTTTCGACGTGCATATTCATATTAGACAGCACTGACAGATGCCTTTCTAACTTCTCCGTTCAAAATTCTACCCTAAAAGTTAAGTAACTGCTCAGAATGATCGACAAATTGTCCTAGAATCGAATTTTGGGCTGCATTATAAGTCTTCGTCCAGCACCGGCTAACAATTCCCATTGAGCAAACTTGTGATCTATCAACCTATTTCTGGTTTCATATGCCGGAAAATGCAAGGAAAATTTCAATTAAGTAAAGTATAGGGTTGTCTAATTTGCCAACAATATCGCTATCCTGTTAACACTTCAGCGACTCCCTGACAATTGTGTTCTTGGCATCTAGTAGAGTGATAAATCATTTTAGTCTTCAATATAGACTTCAAAAGCAGTTTTATCAAACTTACACACTTTTCCTCCCTTGCCGCCATAGCACTGTTCTTCTTTTTAAAAAAATGGCGTGATATTATACAAAGTTAAGCATTACGGCAGGGGATCAACTTTTGACTCACAATCCATTAAGAAAAACCATCAGGTGCATTCTTATTCCTAAAACAATTTTCTAATTTTATCGTACTAAGAATAAACATGATAAGCACGGACAAATAATTCATGAGAAATTTAAAGCAAATGTCATTGGTAAAGGAACATTTTTATTTTACTGTGAGAGTCAATGACAGAAAATTGAAAAACTCCCTCAAATGTCCGTAAGTTTGGCATCTCAGTGAACAGCCAGTCTTTTTCAACAATTAATTTTTGAGTCTTTTGAACCCAAAAAACTAAGCTATTTCCTTTTTTTGACCAATGCTAAACAAAAAATTCTAACTTCGGTTCGTCTCTTAATTTCGTTCTGAACATTGATTAAATTTTGATTACAGCGAAATTTGATTCTGAATAATTTTCTATATCTAGGCACCAACCTTAGATGACATCAATATACTTCAAGTTTTGCAGTAGAAAGTTATGCCTATATACCTAAATATATAGATATAGGTGTTTTAAGAGAAATGTTGCACTCTTTTTTTTAAGCTGTAGTAGCATACATATCGTCTATTTGAGTCCATTCATTATAGGTGAGTCGATTACTAATAAAAAAGGTTCATTGATTAGCTTAGCGTTGGCAAACTGCGTATAGGAGTAAAAGTTAATGCGTAATTTTATTTACAAAGTAGATGATATTGAAGGCGGTTACTCCTTACAGCTCAGGACATGCTACGCAGATATACCGCGCCAACTGCTTCATAAAAAAGGAAAACACACTCATTATGACAACACCTAATGAAGGCAGCATTAATTTTTCCCCTTTTCATTGATACTGATTTCTATATCTATGTTTTCACTAAGTACTTTAGTGAAGGAAACGCTTCTTACGCTTACGCTAAAAAATATGTAGCTTATGCGTGAATAGATCTTGTTGTTATGGCACGACTACCCCGTATTAATGTGTCTTAGCGGCTCATGTCACAACCTCCATGCCGAAACACCTATCAGGGCCGGTTTGCAAGCCATAGGGCACAAGAAAAGAGATAACAATGGTTTTTTTCTGCATAGCCATGACATAACCATCATTGGTTTAGTAGATTTCTGTGACAAAGAAAAACCACCGAGGTGGAGTGACTATTAATGGGTAAGTTAATTATCATTTTGCAAGCTAATATCATCTGTTTCTATACGAGAAGATCTCAAATTGCAGAAACTGTTCAAAAATATATCAGTGATGTCACCAAATGTTATTAACGGCCCTCAGGGAGTGATTGGTTAGCAACAGAAAGATCTCTTTTGTTAAATTGTTTCTGGCTGTTATAAACTGTCAATTTGCAAAGTGAAAATCCTTCAATTAATTACTCCTCATATTGACATGCTTCCGTTGACGTTCCTAGTAACAAATTAATTTTCAGTGTCAGATCCAGATTAAGTCACACAGCCAGTGAAAGATGGTTATTGACTGGTTCTGGATCGTAGGATGGTTTTTCATCTTCTTCGGTCTGGTTGGAAACATCTGGGTCATTTCAATCATTGCCAAAAGGAGAAGATTACAGACAACCACAAATTGGTTCATTCTTTCTTTGGTGGTGGCCGATCTGTGTGTATATCTGTGTGGTGGATAAATGCGATTACGGCGTTCGTATAACATTCCCCTTTTTCTTCAGAGACGTTTCCTCCATGGGCTTATTTGCCATGGTAGCAGAGCGTTACATCGCTATTGCGCATTCGTTAAAATACGTCCGTGTGTTTACCACCACCAGGAGAACATTCATGATCATTGCAATCTGTTGGGTAATTCCATTTCTCTTTAATGCATTTTTTCTCAGCAAAGCTTCGATTGAGAAACGTCTGCATTTTTTTGTCATTTACACAGTGCTCTTTGAACTGTTACCAGCTCTTTAACTCTCAGCTGCACACCTGCATATCGTGGTAATTGCTCGCAAACTCTCCCTCGAAATGAAAGCTCTTTTGAAACAAGTTAAATTCAACATAGTAATAAACTCCATGCAAGTAACTGAAGCTAGAAACGTGGGCCTAAAACTTTCCACAGTGAGGTTGGTAACTAATCTCGTTATCATTTTTATAGCACATTATGGGACCCAACTCCACATCTGGATCTGTAATACCCTTAATCTTTGTAAGGTTTCTGAACGTGAGGTGACGGCAACTAGTTTGCTCTTGTTGGCTAATTCTACGTTAAATCCTTTTGTATACGCGTTCCTCAAAGAAGATGTCAGGAGAGAATCAAAAGCTTTTCTTTGCTGCAAGGGGCACGTAAAACTACGTGTCTTAAAGGTTTATCCAGAATAGAAAGATATGGGCCGATTTCCTTCCAGCAATGCTGACTAAAAAAAGACTACCGAACTTGTTAGATGTGTTTTAATTTAGCACATTCTTAGGTTGATCAGTGGAGACAGCTATTTGCCGCCGTAATGTGTTGTGAACAAGTTGCGTTTTCTTTGGTGTACACTCTGCCTGGAGCACAATTCAGGACGTTTTCTTATGAGTCTCTTGTTGCTGTCAGTGTCAGCTAAAAGGTCTGAAAAAGCCGAAAATGTGATCATTAAAGGCTTAAAGAAAAACGAATGACTTCTAAAATCCTCCTCATGATTGAATCTAACAATGAATAAATAGCTTGTAATCAACAACATTCTCTGTTGCGAGCCTGTAACCATATATTTCAGCGAATAGATCTCAAAAAGGCAGAGAGATTCTTATATCAGAACACAGCTAAAGAGAATTAAATCAAAAATAATTTATAAAAATCTTAAATGCTGTTAAGAAATACAACCATGTAACTGCAGAAATTTAATCCTGTTTTTCTCAACAGTCATAATCCCCTTCTTGGACGGCAAGCACTTATGAAAATTTTGTCTGCACAAATAAGAATCATTTATATCTTGGTCCTGACGAACCATGTGATGTTCATGAGATAGGCATCTTAACGAAGTAATGGACCTCACAGAGAAAAATATAATTCAAATTAAGATTATCAGGAAAATACATAGTTTATCAAATAATTTGATAAACAAATAATCAAACAAACCGGTGTGGAGGCCTTTATGGGACATCTTTG